CTGCCGGATTGGCTGGGCCGGGAGGGGGCGTGGCTGCGGAGGGCGGGTGCGGCCGGCCGGGAGTGACGCAGCAAAGCCGGGTCCGCGTGGGTGCGCGCGTGCTCTGGGAGAGGCGGAGCGTTGTTTGTGGCCTGAATGTCCGGGACGCACTGGGGTCCCTGGAGTCTGAAAGGCCGGAGGGCTTAGTTCTGGGACTTTTTTTTGCAGGATTAGGCTTAGGTATCATTTGCTGCTTTTCTATTCGTAGACTTAGTAAATCGCTCTTCTCACATCGTGATAATTCCTATCTATATCAATTGTTTTTTCCTGTTCCATGATGCTAAATGGGAAGAAATAATAGTACCTTGGTCATAGGAATGTCGGGAGGGTTTATTGGGATTGTTTCATACAATATTCCTGAGCTCTCCAAACATTAATAGGAATGATTACAGATAGGAAGGGTGGAATGGCGAGTTCCTCTTTATAGATACTTACTTGGCGAGGCAGCTTTGCATAATGCATGGGTTTGAAAGTAATTCAGAAATACTGAGTGAAGGCCTCGGAATGAAGTTCCTGGTAGGCCTTGGGCCTGGGCTGAGTAGGAAGCAGAGTGGACCCTGGGCTGTTCATGAGAGGTACTGGCTCTGGTACTGGTCATGGAAGTAGAAGCAGTATAAAATTTACAGTACCTTAGTTCTCAGTTCTCTCCAAGTACTTCTAGACAGGCCCGGGCCTGCTTCTGAGGATCCAGTGGAGAACAAGAGAAAAACTATTGGTCTGTGTCCTCATAGGTTGGGTTCTGTGGCAGATTATAAACGAGTAACCATACAGAAGACTGTGCCGTGAGGGTGTAATAGGGGCAGGGATGGCCGGATCTGTACCGGGGAGTTGAGGAAGTTGTTACTGAACAGAGGACATTTTATAGCTGAGTTTTAAATCGGGGTGGACTAGGCAAAGTGGAGGGCAGAGTCCAGCATGGGCCAAAGCTTCTCCAGCAGGAGGTCATAGGGTACATTTCTGGAGGTGAATTTGGTCAGGGGGGACGGAGTGGCCTGAGGTGGTAAAGGACTTGGAGAGCGCCACATGGAATGGAGACAGCAGGAGGAGTAGACAGGTAACCACACCATGCATCCAGGCCGGCACAGAAAGGCGATGGGTTTAAAATGAAGCGACGTGAACTAATGTTAGATGCTGGGGAAGCTTTCCAGGGGCCTCTAAGCCTATGGAGAACAGGGTTAGGAGAGAAGAGGAGGTTGAGGCCCGATACTCTTCTCTGCCTGACCCAAACGTCTAGCCTTACTGCTAGGGGTTGAGTTTGGGATCACCGCTTTCAGCCCTCAGCAGTTAGGTTGAGTGAAGGCTGACTCACTGTGGGCCTGTCGCTGATGTGGCCTCATCTGATGTCATGTCTAGCCCTAGTCTCTCGAGGTAGAGCAGGTGAGAAGCCACACAGGTGTGTGTGTGTAGCGAGGGAAAGGGAGGGCTTCCCCACTGACTTTCTAGCAGAACTATGGGGAGAAGCAGGTTGAACTCAAAGCAGAGTGACACAGGGAAGCTGTATGTGGCCTGGGACTGTGGAGACAGCTGTGTCAAGCTACCAGGCCAGCACACCAGCACAGACCTTGGCTGTATCTGGCTTACGTGTCTCAGACATGAGTGATTTGAGATGTCTCCTGCTGGCCAGGTCAGAGGCCAGGAGTTTGGGACTGCAGGAGGGGGTGTGGGGAAGTTGGCCTCGTCACATGGGGTTGAAGACAATCTAACGGGTAGCTGTGACTCACTGCAATGAAGGGGAGAGAGACGGACAGAGGCAGGAACTAGGGTGCTCACAGGCCCTTCCCCTGGGGCCGAGCATCTGAGAGGAAAACCAACTCCTGCAGTACCTGCCTTCACTCAGGTTGGCCAGGGACGGCGTGCACTGAGGAAGACCAGGTGTGTACGCTTGAAGTATTCAGTGGTCGTGAGAGCTGCTGTTTGGTGGAGGGCCATCTGAGGGCCCCCTGTTTAATGCTGATCTATGGTTTGGGAGCCCAGAAGGGCCTTGAGGCAGTAAGATGTGCTGGTGAACCATGGGGTGCAGAAGGGTGGTGGAGGAGGTGGCGGCTCAGGTGTGGCCTTGGAGCGTGAGCAAAGACCTAGGGTGAAGAAGGGAGGATCTATGTGAGGTCGGGGTGGACAGGTCCGAGGGGAGAACTAAAGCAAGCAGGTATGTTTGGTGTGAAAAGAGCCCATGGCCGCTGTCCCTCAGCATGACCCGCAAGCCTTGGGAACTGGGAGCTCAGGAACAGGTGGAGAAAGACAGGAGCAGCAAGGGCTGGAGTCTGCTGGACACAGTGATCACGACGTGCCTAGACAGAAGCTGTCAACAGGAGGACCACGAGTCGTAGGAGAGTGAGGTTGGGGTCAGCAGGTGGACCTAGGGTGAAGAAGGGAGGATCTATGTGAGGTCGGGGTGGACAGGTCCGAGGGGAGAACTAAAGCAAGCAGGTATGTTTGGTGTGAAAAGAGCCCATGGCCGCTGTCCCTCAGCATGACCCGCAAGCCTTGGGAACTGGGAGCTCAGGAACAGGTGGAGAAAGAGACAGGAGCAGCAAGGGCTGGAGTCTGCTGGACACAGTGATCACGACGTGCCTAGACAGAAGCTGTCAACAGGAGGACCACGAGTCGTAGGAGAGTGAGGTTGGGGTCAGCAGGTGGTGCGAAGGGTAAAGCTGCTGGATCCCACATGGCTGGCTGAGCAGTCAGTCCTGAACTCAGGGCTTGAAAATCATGTATGTACGTGTGTGCACATGCCCAAAATCCCGAGAGGAGAATGGAGAAGTGATTATAGCATGGCCTTGTCCCCTAGGGGGGTGATTTCTCACTTTCCTCACTTCTGCAAGCACATCCACCTGATAACAAACTTAAGTGTCAGTGTTCGGAGGTCATGGAGACATGACCTTGGCGTAGAAGGGAGCTGAGACGTGGGAAGTGCGCTGGCCCTTTGGAGCAGCTGATAAGGTTTGTGTAAAGGGAAGGGGAGCAGCCCCAGTGTGGAAGCACAGTCCTCTCCTGTGCCCGGGGTCAGCACCCGGAGGTGAAAGTCACCTGTGGGCCTGGGGGAGTTGAGAAGCAGATGGCCCCTTGGGTGAGGGTGCTCCCTCCTGATGTTCCTTTTTTTTTTTTTAAACCTTTTTAGAATTATTTTTTATTTATTTATTTTAATTTGACCAGAGAAGGTTTGGGGAGGGGGGAGAAGAGAAGTGAGAAAACAAACCACCAGGCCCAGGACTCGAACCGCAGTTGGCCGTGTGGGAGTCCAGTGCCCTTAACCACCATGCCACCTATGTGTCCCCCACCCCATGTTCTTAGTCTTGCACGTCAGTCTGACCTTTTTAGAATTATTTTTTATTTATTTATTTTAATTTGACCAGAGAAGGTTTGGGGAGGGGGGAGAAGAGAAGTGAGAAAACAAACCACCAGGCCCAGGACTCGAACCGCAGTTGGCCGTGTGGGAGTCCAGTGCCCTTAACCACCATGCCACCTATGTGTCCCCCACCCCATGTTCTTAGTCTTGCACGTCAGTCTGTCGGTGGGTGCTGCTGTTTCTCATTGATCAGTGTGTTTCCGAGTGCTGTGTGAATAGAGTGTTATTGGGAACAGCACAGGGGACCCTTGGGAATATCTGGGGAGGGGAGAGAGGGTGGGAGAGGAGGTGGGAGGGAGCCAGCAGCCACCAGGAAGAAGGTGGAGACAGGAGACCATGGAGGTGCAACAGGGAGGGGTAGCATCATGTGGTCATTCTCCCAGGAGGCTAAAGTTACAAGGGGACAAGTGAATATGGAGTGGAGGGAAGCACAGGGTCTCTCTGGGTTCTTTGGGGAATGAGTTCCTAGGGGACAGCTTGTGGTATTGGTGACTGAGCAGAATGGCCTGAGGCCCTGGGTGTGACCTGGGAAGTGGAGAGGCCTTGAGGAGCAGGGACAGGGCAATAGGCAGCAGAGCCTCCTGGAACACAGTGGGTGTGGGGAATAGGGGAGGGTGCCCATACTTGGGGCAGGGCTGACCTGGGACTATGCCTGCCCAAGAGCACACAGTCCCCAGATGCTGGGCCTCGCTGGGCAGAGCAGAGGACTGGAGGTGGGCATGGTCCAACAGGCCCCTCCGCTGCAGACTTGAATTGTTGGCCAGCTTATGTGCAAAGGGAGTTTAAGGTCCAGTGGGCCCTGTGGCTGCTGCTCAGGGTATCTCGTCCCTTGCCCTGTCCCCCCAGTCCCTGAAGAGGAAGGAGAAGGAATATGAACATGAGATGGAGCGGCTGGGGCGGGAGAAGATCGCCACGCAGCAGCGGCTGGCAGAGCTGAAGCACGAGCTGAGCCAGTGGATGGACGTGCTGGAGATCGACCGCGTGCTCCGGCAGACGGGCCAGCCGGAGGACGACCAGGCCTCCACCTCGACCGCCTCTGGTGAGCCCCAGCCCCTGCGCTGTCCCCACTGCCCTCAAATGCTGCCCCCTGCACCTCAGGTTCCAGCCTTCCTGTCCAGGCTTCCACCTGGTAGAAGCGGCACCCCCGACCCCAGTTCCATCATGTCCCCAGACTCCCACGGGCATCTACGTCTCCAGCCTGTTGTCTCTCAAACCCTTCTGACCTGCTCCCTGCTCTGTGTTCCCTGACAGAGGGTGAGGACAACATAGACGAGGATATGGAGGAGGACCGGGCGGGCCTGGGCCCACCTAAGCTGAGCCACCGTCCCCAGCCGGAGCTGCTGAAGTCCGCCCTGCCACCCCCCAGCACCGCCCCCGCACCTCTGCCTCCTCACCCTCACCCCCACCCCGTGGCTCTGTCTCCTGCCCACCTTCCCGTGCAGCCGCAGCAGCAGCCGCCACAGAAGACCCCGCTGCCAGCCCCTCCTCCCCCACCAGCCACCCCTGCCCAGACACTGGTGCCGGCACCGGCCCATCTGGTAGCCACAGCTGGGGGTGGCTCCACGGTCATCGCCCACACAGCCACCACCCACGCCTCAGTCATCCAGACTGTGAACCACGTTCTGCAGGGGCCTGGTGGCAAGCACATCGCCCACATCGCCCCCTCGGCCTCCAGCCCTGCTGTGCAGCTGGCACCTGCCACACCCCCCATTGGCCACATCACAGTGCACCCTGCCACCCTCAACCACGTGGCGCACCTTGGCTCCCAGCTGCCCCTGTACCCACAGCCTGTGGCAGTGAGCCAGCCCGTGGCAGTGAGCCACATAGCTCACACCCTCTCGCACCAGCAAGTCAATGGCACAGCCGGGCTGGGACCCCCAACCACCGTCATGGCAAAGCCTGCCGTGGGGGCTCAGGTGGTACACCACCCCCAGCTGGTGGGCCAAACAGTGCTCAACCCCGTGACCATGGTCACCATGCCCTCCTTCCCGGTCAGCACGCTCAAGCTGGCTTGAAGAAGATGAGGCCACTCAGAGGCCCCCAGTGGGGGCAGGGAAGGGGCCCTCACCCCCACTCTCCCACCCACCAGCTCCACACATTCCAGCCAGGCCCAGGTCCACCCCACCCACTCCCACCCCCAGGCCTCCTAGGGGAAGGGGGTACAGAGAGACTCTGAGCCAGGGGATGGAGGGACCACTCCAGGGAGCTGGGCACAGGGCAGGGGGTTGCCCCGCTGCACTCGGACCTGGTGAAATGACTGATTAGAGACGCTCTGATGAACCTGCCACCTGTGCGGCCTGGTGCCAGCGCCATCGCTGTTCCTGCTGCCCGCCCTGTGCCCTGGCCCTGAAGTCAGAGTGCTGTGGACATCACGCTCCCTGCCTTCCCTCCCCTGCCCGCCTTCCTGTGCTGCTGCTGCTATTGCTGTCCCAAGCTTTGGTGTCCTCTTCCCAAGTCCTTGGAGGGGAAATGGGAAGTGGGACTGAAGCCACTGAGCCCAGAGAGCTGAGGTTGCGGGTGACAGGTCCTGGGAAGTGGCTGATCTGGAGTCACCTGGACAGGTGGGAGCCCCAGTCTGGGACTCTCAAACCCTGGTGCAGGCGCTGAGATTTGGTTCCATAGAAACAGTTCTCTACCAGTGATAACCCGAGCCCAGGCTGTTCCCAAGCTCCTTGAGCCCCAGGCTCCCCTTAATCCCTGCCGCTGGGCTCTGAGCCTCAGAAGGGCAGGCTGAGGGGGTGAGATGGGGTGATGCTGGGCTTCCCTGACCTCTGCTCAGTGCTATACACCCCAAGGGAGGGTGGGCCTGGGTGTCCGGGTTTTGGTGCCTCTTACAGCTTAGACGATGCGGACAAGCATTTGGCCTTTGATGGAGGGGTCTGGAAGCCAGTGTTGAGGCATCAGGAAGTTTTAGAATCTAGGGGCTTGGCCAAGGCCCTAAGCCCTCCCCAAGCAGGCTCTGGGGACTTGGGGAAGTCTGGGATGTTAATGACAAATTAACGCTGGAGGGAGGAGGCTGCTGCTTTGGCTCCAACTGGCCCTAAACACTCCTCCAGCCCCGCCCTGGTCAGAGCTGCTGTGCACCTTCCCAGGAAGGCTCCTTAGCTGGGTCAAGGCCGGGGCTGACACCGCCTGTGGAGAGACTGGGATCCAGTGTTAAGGGATGCTGCTTCTGCCTCAGCAGGTGGCTTTGGCTTTTTTAAATGTGGGTATTTATTACAAGTGGCCTTGTGTCAGACACTCAGTTGCACACATACACACTCAGCCTCCTCACCCGGACATACACCCATGGCCTTTCAGTGGCGGGGGGGAGTGGGTGTCTCCAGCTGTGAAGTTTGCACTGAGGGCTGGGTAGGCTAGGAGGCCAGGAGGGGAGCCCAGGTCCTTCGGGCGTGCCCTGCACAGGCCTGCAGAGGTCCTGGGCACACTCCCCCTTGAAACTGACTCTCCTTAGACACCTAAGGTCCCAGGGACCATTTTCTTAATCACTTGCTCCTGGGGGTGGCCTGGGCCCTCCTGATCTGCCCCTGCAGAGGGTTGTGAGAGGGGACCCTGCACCCACCCTATCCCAGCATAGCAATCACCCCCTCAAGCTTGCTGCCCACTCCCACCCACCCCTGCTTGTGAGGGAGCTGGCTTGGTTGTTCCTGCTGTGACCACAAGGAAAGGAACAGAGGGAGAGGGGCAGGCCTGGCCCCACCCCCGCCCCCCACAGTCAGCAGCTTTGGC